AGTGAATGTACATACAGCTAGATATATATGTATACATATATACACACACACACACACACACACACATTCATTTATTCTGTGTTGGTTGCATTTCTTGTTGCTATAACAAAATATTCAACAAAAGCAACCTAAAGAAAGAAGGATCTAGTTTTAAATTAAATAAATTTTAAAAATTCAAATTTTCTCATATTTTGTCTTTCTTCAAAATTACTTTCATTCTTTGTCATAGCTCCTGCTTCAAGAAATCAAAAATCTATAAACAATTTAATAAGTGCACATACAGAAATTCTGAATTAATAAATGCTTCCTAGCTTTGTGTGTTGGCACATGCCTTTAATCCCAGCATTCACAGGCAGAGGCAGCTGGACCTCTGTGGATCAAGGCCAACCTGGTCTACATAGTCAGTTCCAGGCTAGCTGGGGCTACAGGGAGACCCTGTCTCAAAAAGACCAAAAAACAAAAAAAAGGCTCATAAGCCCCCACCCCTACCTGAAGAGTTGTGGACAGTTGATAGCTTCTGGGGGAGGGAGAGTCAAGTTTCTCTAAGGATGTGGCTCCTGGCACTTGACTGTGCTGCAGTGGATGGTCCCATACCTAGAAGTGTATGGACAGCACAAGTTCGAGTAGAGGGTTTTGGTTCTGTTTTTGAGATAGGGCCTCCCTGTAGCCCCAGATGGCCTGGAACTCACTGTGTAGACCAGGCTGGCCTCGAACTCACAGAGATCTGCCTGCCTCTGTCTCCCGGCTGATGGTGCACACCTTTATACTCAGCACCTGGGAGGCAGAGGCAGGCAATTTCTGTAAGTTTGAGGCCAACCTACTCTATGTAATGAGTTCCAGGCCAGCCAGAGCTACATAACACCTATCTCGAATAAACAAAAACAAAAAGATCATTCTCTGTTTCATAGGGAATTTGAGGCCAGCCTAGGCTAAAGACAGTATTTTATTTAAACCCAAACAAGATTTAGTTTAATAAAAACAAGCCCCTCATCAGTTATTGTTAAATAAGATTTGTGTGAAAACATAGATTTTGAACTGGGTACCTATGTTGGGCCCAATAGACCAAACTAATGTATAGCTTCGGTCAGGAGCTCTAATCCTTGTTTTATTGAGGCCCTGTAGCAAATATAATAAGCCATGGCTTAAGCTTTTCCACTCCCAACTCATTTTCACTGGAGAAACTTTTACATGACCCCAGATATATAAGCATATAAAATAGGTATACAAATAAAACAATAATTAAATCATGCATTTATTTTTTAATATT